TATATCGTTTCCAGAATTTCATATTTCGAAACGATGTCAAGGGCCGGCAGGGGAAAATCTTTCTCTATCGTCGTCATCCCTATATTGTATCCCCACCAGTCACCAGTCAAAACCCTTAACCACCAATATTTTATCACTATTTATAATTCTTTTTAGCTCTTATTTTTCAGTAATTACTAATAATTTTAGGTCTATGTCTAGAGTAATTGCATTATGCACATCGGAGATGTAGGGATTAACATGTTTTATACATATCGGTGTTTTAGGATGGGGACGACCATACTGTTTTGATTGCTTTGAAGAAATTCATTAACCCATGAATTTATAACAAATGATTACTATTATAATATAAAGAGAGATGAGGAATTGGTTGGAATACATTTTATATCCTATTTTCTTGCAAATTCGCACAATTCAACAGGTATGTGTAGCTATAATGATCGTATATACACACAGTATATTGAACTTATCAAATTTCGAGATTGCCATGAATTAACAAACGACCAAACCTGCTGCCAAATTTAACAGCTAGAAAATCGACCTATTATTTCTCCCATTCCCATCCGATGAGGGGATAACGGATGGTCAAATGTACACCTACAACAGAAATCAAAATACATTAAAGTTGTCCTGTTTTCTCTGTACAAAAGCATCCTGCTGAAATCAAAAAGTGGTCTTGTTTATAATACAGTCGAACTTTCACGATTTTAATCAACATCTTAATAGAAATCACTGATATTCTGAGACCTTTAACAGCTTCCGTCAAATTGCATTTCGATAAGGTATTTTCCCATTGGTCCATAATATTAATGTTGGTGAAATCGGCCCTCAGATAAGTTGTCTACGAAAGACTTTTGACTTGTTCGATAAATCTTAATTTTGTTTCTGGAAACACACCAAGAATTATTGCAGATTCGCAAAACTGTACGATTGGACCACTTATTTGGACCTTCAAGAGTGACGTCAAGTTATCCTTCTTTCCTTGGTCACAAAATAATCAGTCATTTTAGACTTTCGAGGGATGATAGCCAGATTGAAGCCAGATAAATATTGGATTAAATCAACATCATTTTGTAAAACTTCTACAGTATGCATTCTATGGATTTCAGTAGTGTAACATTGTGTATCGTCTGCGAAAGATTAGTTATGTGAATCATCAAGGAATTTGTTCAAGACAAAAGTGTATATCAGAACCTTGAGGTAGGAATTGCAGAAACATGAGAAAATTTTTGATCAATACAAATATATTGAGTCCTTGGTCAAGATTACTTCCGAAAAATGAAAGAACTAAGGTATCAGTATCTTTGTAATTTAATTTAGATTCAATTAATTCATGATTGATGCTGTCAAAAGCGTTCGAGAAATCTATAGATATTAGCGTTGATGCCATATTCTTATCTACGGCTCCTAAAATATTATCTTGCAAATTGAGAAGCGCAGATGTTGTACTATAATTTTGTTCTAAAGCCAGATTGGGTATCAGGAATTATTGAATATTTTTCAAGGTAAGAGGTTAGTTGTAATTTTACCAGTAAATCCAGTATTTTAAACAAAATTTAGACAAACTAATAGGTCTTTGACCGCTGAATTCAGCGAGTTCAAGCTTTCAACCATTAATGATGTCTGCGATGTGAATAAAAACAACCGGATCATTGCCCGGAAGATAGACCGTCAATTCCCTTTGCATTCGACTTTAGTGACTTTATCGCTTGTAATACGTCACTGGAGTGATTTTAATCAACGAAAAAGTGAGTTCTGGATATTACTTATTTTTGGAGCAACATTCGATAACTAGCAGATTAACATTACTATACACAGACATAAAATAATCATTAATTTTGATCGGATCATTGAAATTTTGGTTTATTACATCTAGTCGACTTGGACACTACCACATTTTTTTGGCTCATTTTGATTAGCTAAATTTTCTAGATAAGCCTTTTTATCCTTCTTTGTCATTTTTGAACCCCGTTTCCTTCGCGACTCGAGATTTTCATATGTTTTGGTCGTTCTTTCGGCCTTGTATGAAGCATCTTCTTTTTGAGAATAGTGCGTAGTTTGCCACACCAAGGCGCTGGTGGTTTGTTCACTCTTATAGTCTTAAATGATGCATGTTTATTAAAGATTTTCAAAATTCTGTTTGTAAGGTGATTAGCCTTCCGGTCAATATTGTATCGAATGGATAATTCATCGGTTGGGGATATAGAAGATAAAAAAATTTTAAATCCTGGGTTGTAATCAATTATTGTTTTCTTTTTTACGACGGAATATCAAAATGAAAATAAACGGGTTATGATCCGAGATATGATAAGTGTCTATGATCGAACAGAAGCTGGATGCGTGTGGATTGTTTATAAATAAAAAATCAGATCGAGCAGCGTAGCTGTACTATCCGTGACACGCTTAGCTTCTGTCACTATTTGTGCAACAGGTTACTATACCTGGCAAGAAGTCGTTTAATAAATTTGCACACTGTTCCATACCTGGAGATAAAGGACGATAAAGTTTGCCCTCTAATAAATCGCACTTACCCGCTATTACTTTGACCCACATATTTTCCAAGCGCTAGCCAAAATTTACACCAAGATCTATATTTGCAGTGCGACTAAATATGAACACCAATCTCCACAGAGGATACATGGGTGGCCTTCCTGACAGAAATTTATAAAAAAGAAAACCAGAAACGCCAGATATAATAACTGATGAAAAGACCGAAATCTCCCAAGAAGATGTGAAACAAGGAATAAATAAATTAAAAAATAGAAAGTCACCAGGAGATCAAATACCAAATGAACTCTTAAAATATATATGGAGCTGATTACCCTGTACAACAACTGCAACTCCTTATTCAAAAAATAATCACCACGTACAGAATACCAGATGAATGGAGAAGAGCGATCATGCTGATGTTCTTCAAGAAAGGAGATAAGAAAGACCCCAAGGATTCCAGACATGAAAATCATGCACGGATGCAGTTTTTGTAATAAGACAAATAAAAGAAAAGTCGCTGGGGTACAACAAACCAGCATATAGCCTGATAGACCTGAAGAAAGCGTTTGATAGTATGAGAATTCGGCGCGCGATACATTTATTATATGACAGTGGAATACCACTGGATTTAGTAAAAAATATTGGGAATATATATATATATATATAAAGATAACATAGCTATGGTAAGTTGTTAAGGAAAACTCTTGCAACCTATCAAGCATGAAACTGGAATTAGACAAGAAGATTCGCTGAGCCCACTAATATTTAATCTGATGATGGATGAAATCATAAAGAAATTAAAAAAAAGAAGAGGATATAGAATGGGAGAAAAGGAAATGCAGATAATATGCTACGCTGACGACGCCATAATAATAGCCGAAAATGAACATGACCTACAAAGATCAATTAAAGAATTCGAAGATATGGCGCTCATATATGGTGATTGCAACAGGGAAAACTAAATCGATAGTGATATTAGCGGAACCGAGACGATGTAAGCTGGTCGTAAATATAACAAAATAATAGAACAAGTGATGGAAACGGAATACTCGGGAATCAAGCTGTCAAGCTATGGAAAAGTGGAAGAAGAAGTACAAACACAAGTCAACATGGCAAACAGAGTAGCAGGATGTCTCAACAATACAATCTGGAGAAACAAACACCGCACAACAGAAACGAAAACTAGGATATATAAATCAACAATAAGACCGATAATGACGTACACAGCGGAAACAAGAGCAGATACGGCGAAGACAGAAATATTATTTAAAACAGCAGAAATGAAAGTCTTACGAAAAATAACAAACCAAACTATAAGAGACAGAGTAAGAAGTGAGGAAATATGAGCGAGATGTGGTATAGAGGAAATAAACCTGTGGACCAAAAGAAGAAAATTAGAATGGAATCAACACATAGAAAGAATGACAGAAAATAAAACAGTACGAATAGCAAGAGACAAATCGCCAAATGGAAGAAGATCAGTGGGACGACCGAGGAAAAGATGGTCGGACAACATCAATTGAGGCTAAAAACCGAAGAAAAACAGGCATGAGCCTATTAGTAAAGTAGGAAGAAGAAGACCAATTCCACCAACACGAGAATCTCTATCACATCACAGAAAATCATAATTACTAAACCTAACTCCATCACCAGTAATACTCTTATTTAGCCACGTCTCTGAAATAGCAAATACATCAAAATTTTCTTGTGTAATCACAGTCACAATAGCATCGAAGTCAGACATAAGAGAGCCAACGTTCATGTATCCAAGTTTGACTGTACGTCTAGCCATCAATTCTATACATACATAGTTTACAACATATGACTTTGTTAATAGAACTTATGATCAGGGAAATTTTTGTCTATTGATAGGTGAATAATTTCATGAGACTTACTGTATCTGTTATTAGAATACAAGCAATTGCAACATTTAGCTTCCGCGTAGTTACAAATGGTAGGTAGTATCATGAACGCTTGTACAGGTATTCTGCCCACATTGAACACACATCTTGTGGTTTTGATATTTTAGATTTTTAGATATTAGATATATTAGATACAAACTCTTCGGTGATTGTTTCACTTGTATGATACCCGACGATCCTAATCTTAGGCTCAAACATCCTTGGGTCAGATATCTAGTATATCCCTGGATTTTTTTTTTCTTGATTTTTTCTTTAAGTCTGGCGTGGATACTTTCTTGAACACGAACTTAAACGCCACCATTTCCAGTGTTGTTCACAGCATCAACTTCAATTTGTAGTTTGGATAAGCTCAAATTCTTGCGTGTTTTAAAGCTAGGTTGTTGTGAGTTAGGTATGATCATTATGCTTTTTAAGGGTTTATCTTTGTTTATTACAGGAGCATTGGTTTTTAAAACTTGTGAATGTTGTAAATTGTTAGCCACACTTGAATTCTCTATTTTATCAACCCTGGAGTTCAGTTTTTGAACACTATCGATCACAGATTCTTTTTCAACAGTATTTGCGAACAAATTAATAGTTTGAACGTTCTTAAAAGTCTGAAATCTTCTTTTTATCAGAAATCGTCACTAAAATTATTTTTTTTTCACATAGGGCTTTATTTTCATGACCCAACTCTTCAGGTTTTTTAAGCCACTTATAATCAGTTTTCGGTGTTCTTCCTGGTGCATCATTACCTCCAATTTCCACTATCTTCACTCTCTGATGGTTAGCCGGAGAATTATCAACACCATCCTTTTTCTTTTTCCCTTCAACTTTCTGTGGTGCATCACCCAGTTTTGTTTTCACTATTTTCCCTCTCTGAATCTTGGCCGAAGCAGTATCATCGGTTTTCGTTTTGTTGACCCAGTATAGTTGTGTTAGCTCCTTCCGTGTGATTGATGTCAAATTGTCACACATGGTGTCAACATTTTTTCACTGGCTAATATGGCCAACAATCACTTGCGTCTTCAAGATCAGCTGTTCTTCAAAATTACAAATGCAGAGGTACCTCAGAAATGGTTCTGGGCATGCCAACTTTCAGACGAACTATTACTTCGTCGTAACCGACTCGATGTTTCGTAACGAGAGAGTCCAAAAAAGCAGAGTCCTTGATCCAAAACATTAATTTCAGGTTTGGACCAAGGAGCAGGTAGAAGCTTAAATGCCGGGCCACCGCGGCTGCTATGATGATCCCAAAGAAATTTTGTTAATTCGATTTTTGAACTGCCTGAGGTTAGTAGAACTGGAAAAAGCTTTCTCTTGTAGATTGTTTCACAATCTCGACACCCTCTGGACAAAGGAGGGGTCGTACCAGCCAGTTCTGGAGGTACGAAGTTCAACACGGTTAGGATGGGCCGCCAAAGTCAGATGGGTCTGTCTGGCAGGTACATCGCGCAGCGGCTTCATGGAAAAGAGCTTTGAGGAGCAATGCCCGTTGGTATAGCGGTAGAACAGAGCTAGATCGCCGACGGCCCGCCAGTGCCTGTGCCTAACCTTTATATCATGCTGGCTTTTGGCATTGCGAACCGCTTCGTTATATTGGTTTCTGGACTCGACGTCAGCTTGTCTGTTTTCTATAGTAGGGTTTTGTCAGAAGGCTTTGTGTACCTTGATCATCTGCTGGCGAGCAGACACACGATTTGTTAAACCAGCCGTTGGAGCCTTGGTTAGGCACTTTCACTGTGTGAGAGATTTATTCCTCCATATCGACGTTGATAATTTCGGTTATCGAATAGAACAGACAGCCGACGCATCTGCGTTAGTGAAACATACTTCTCCTCAAGAAAATGTGGAGAAGAAGTCTTTGAGCCCCTCCCAGTCCTCATGTCCGTAATGCCAAGTTTTGCGGCCTGTACGAGTTTCTGCTGCTACAGCGGGTTCTGAGCGAAACCTAACCTCCACAACACCGTGGTCTGAGTTACCCTGTGGGGACAGGATAGCAGTGCTGTAGGGTACAGGATGCGTGGTCAGAAAGAGATATAGAGCAGGCTACTGGCATGTGACGAGACGCGGGACTTGTCAAAAGCTGGGTCAGCCCTTGAGTAAGAACGAACGCTTCGACTGCACGACCAACCAAAGATCATTATGGGCATTGAAATCACCGAGAACTACCTCTGAAGCGGGACGATTGATGTTCAGGAAGTCGATCTTGACGACGAGGTATTCAAGTAGGTCATCCCAGTTATGGTCCGAGGGAGAGCGATAAATGCAGCAAATAAATTTGGGTGATGCTTTGGAGTTGAGGCGAAGCCACAAAATGTCCTTCCCGTCTGATTCCAAAGAAACATCTCTGGAGCAGGAAAGACTGCTGCGGACAAAAGCCACAACTCCGCCGTTCTTTCTCAGATTGGAGTGAGCACGTAATTTGGGAAGCTGAGACGGTTAATAGGAGCAGACTCTGAGATTTTTTTCTCCGCCAAGAACAGCATAGCGGGACGATTAGGTCGCAGGTAGTGATGAATAGCATCAATGTTGCTGTTAATCCCACCCTCCACCCGGACATTCCGAGAGTTGAGTGAGTTTACGTCCGGAATTCTTAGTGCTCGAGGGATCCATCATCTTTGATTTCTCTATTTTGGAAGCTAACCGACTGCATAGCCTAGGTGTGGAAACATGCGGACATTTATGAGACAACCAACTTACCTTTATCTACCACGTACTTTTTGCATTTTAATGATATTAAATAGACCTAAAGTGGCCCCTTGGTGGACTTTTGCCGCCACCCAGCAATCGGTTTCGAGGTATTGTTCCTTAACGCGTGTACAATCACTTGAACGGGAAGAAGTTGTATACTGGATACAACAACTTCCGAAACAAGCATTTACCACGGCCCCGCTCTATAGGGATGAAATTGTTGTGTCGTCTTTATCCTTTTTTCTCCATTGCCATTAAATAACTGGACTTGCGGATGGTAGCTTTAAACATTTGAAACCAGCTTATGAAGCTTTCAAAGTTATTTCGTATCACACGCGCCTTATTCGTCGAAAGGGTTAAGTCAGCAAGTCATCAAAATTCGGGATAGTGAAATTGATACATGAGCACTTTGTTTTGGAATACGGAAGGCAGTTGAAAGGTAGCAGCTAGGCGCCATTCTGGAACATTGTTTCAAATAGAATGGGGGCCCTGTGATGACTCATTGTGGAGCTTTGGAGCTTTTTGAGTACTTGATAAATCTAGAATACAAAATCATCATCTTTCAAAATGTCGAACTGGCAGGCTATCCAAGCTGAGCGTTTTTGTACATTCAGTCGCTTATAATTCAACAACCGATCATCAAAATGTAATAGCATATCAACTTTCTTCTGGTGGATGGGTATTTCCAAATATGTAATGAAATATAATACCTGTCGCTTAAAAAACTTAGCAAAGTCTGCCATTTTGTTTTAATATGAGTGTCCTATATTTTATTAGATATTCGGATAGACCGTTCCAAAAGAAAAGTGACATAATATATCCTTTTGATGATTAGTTGTTGAGTTATATTAGATCCAATATGGAAAAAAATAGTGTGATAAAGTTCCATCCATCCATTTAAAAAACGTTACAAAGCCGCTTTCTTGAAATTTTCATTTGTTATGTTTATGTTAAAATATACTACTCATGCATCAGTTTCATCACTCTGCAACTCCGCTTTTTTACTTGACCCGTTCGAAAAATAAGTAGGGTGATCTTCCTGAAAAACAATTCGTATGTGAATTTTGTGATGGGTCATAGTATATATGGAAAGAAACGTACGTTACTTCAAAACAGAAAAACAAATAAATAAATGTTTCCCGATTTTTCTAGTGAGATCGATGTTTATTTTTCATCAGCATTCCCCTGTTATTGTTCGAGTCACCTTAACAATTTTGAAATATACGAGAAAGCATTTTTCCGCTGCAAAGGTGAAATATAACGTGTTTTCTTAAAAAAATCACAGATATGCTATTTTCAAGCTCTGTAACGGCTATACGTTTTCTGTAATAGTTTCATCATTTCAAGAAGTCTAAAAGTATCTATAAAACTTGTGTTGATTTTACTTTACAAGTTTGAAATATGAAGCTATGTAAATTTTGCCAAAATTGCACAAAATAGAAAGATTTTGTAAAAGAATTGAACGTAAAGATAAAAAATAAAATGTTTTATGGTGATCCCTCGAAACCTCCAACTGAATGTTTATTTTTTACGTTACATCAATGAGCCTGTCATCGGTTAGTCTCAACTGGAAAATCACTAGTGCCGTATTTTGCTAATACGGCAACATTGTCCGTACAACTCAGACTACAAAACAAACAAGACAGATGATGGTGTCTGTGCCTCGAAAGCGGTGCACTGCAGGCTACTGGTTACTTATGGTTGTGGTCTGTTACTTCGGATTTGTATTTGTGGTCCGGTCTACTAATGTCGCGTCCGAAACAACGCAATGCTGCTGCTACTGCTTGTATACTTTAACGGAGTTTAACTGCAGCCGAAGTGTTCATACAGACGAAACAGACTAATTACATTGAGAACATTTGGAATGAACAGTTACAATGGGTTGTCCGTACAGGGTGACATAAAATTACCGGAACGCCATAATTTATCCTGCTAAACTGTCTAGTCAGGGGAAAACTTCTACAGAGTATTTCTAAGACATTAGGCATAGAATATAACCACTATAGTCAACGCCAAACAAAGTGGCGTGCACGTCATCACGATAAAAATTCCCCCACCTAATGCCTAGGTTTCTATCACAAACAATTGCTCTATTGCAGTTTCATATTAATGTGATATATAAATTGTAAAATGGTCATTACTCTCTTATTATGGTTAATAGTCATATAAACATTGTTATTGAAATATCACATAAGTTGCTTTCTGATAAATTTAGACGCATTATGCGAAATAAAATGTTTTGCAAACGCTCCAATCACTTATCGACATGTAAACGCACTAAACCGATTTCGCAGCGTTGACACATTGTCACCTTGAGACTTATTTAAACTGGGAACTGACATTTGTATTAATTTTGACACTGAATCAATTTGTGGCATTTCAAATCTTTATAAATCCTTTGGCACCGCATACTGTAAATCAACAACTGTTTGTTTCAAAACAAAATTATTCATTTTACGAGTAGATAAAGGCAATTTTGGTATATAAAGATGCCCAAACAGTTAAATAGTCGGTGTAAGGAACTCGTGGCCTCGTTAATGCACTACTTTGAGCAAGAAAGGGACAACAACGGGCCTTTGTTGCCTTTAAATGCTGTTCAAGAGGTAGGTTACTAATAATTATATGTAATGTATATTAATAATAGTGAAATTTTATTTCATTTTTTGTAGCGTGTTGCTGCTGCTTTAAAAATTAGTTTAAGGACAGTTAGTCGTACTTCCGAGGGTGTGAAAAGTGATGCAAATTTAGAATCGCCCAAGAAAAACCGGAGTTATATTAAACGTGTAATCAACACAGCGACATTGGATACAAGTGCCATTCGAGAAGTGATCTATAATATGTATCACAAAAGTAAGATCTTATTATAATAACTTATCAGAAATTTGCATTAATTTGTTAACTAAATTATAATGTCATATTACACATGGTTTCAGAAGAACAAGTTACGATACAAACTTTATGGTCTCGATTAAGAGATAGGGCATTATTTGATGGTAGTGCCACGTCTTTAAGGCGGTTGCTTAGAGATCTTGGATTTAAGTGGCTTAAGGACAATCCGCGACGAGGGCTCATGGAACTACCAAGTATAGCTTTGAAAAGGGTGGAATTTCTAAGGCAATACAATCAAGCCAAGGTTGAGGCCTTATACCAGTTTGTCTTCCTCGATGAAACTTGGATATTTCAAAATGGGACCATAGGTCACTCTTGGCAAAATGGAAACCAAAAAAGCGTGAAAGCTATTAAAACAGATGGTAAAAGGTATGTACTTTTACACAATTTGCACT